GAATTGACTTATTTTGAAGTCTTTATTAAAAATTGATATTCTTTGTATGTCGTTAGAATTTTTGATTAACAGTGTTAACAACCGAGTTGCCAATATATAAAGCTTAGGGAAACAGGACATGCTTGCTGAATTCCCTGTTGCACCTTGAATCCCTTCAAGGAAGCTACAGTGTTGTTAAGTAACGCGTCTGCTTCACTTAGGCTACAAGCCCAACCCCCAGGCCCTGGACCAGTACCAGTCTGTGAGTCATTTGGGTCGCAAGAGTCGAGGCTTTCAGGGTTTTTATCGTTTTTAATTTTTATATCGTTTATATTGTTAACTCGGTTTCCCCTAATAATGTCCCTCACGGCACCTCATACTGTACCTGTCTACCTGTCACACACCTGTCTCATTGGGCCCAGAACCTGCTTACCTGTTTCACTCTCCATACCTGTCTGACTTCCTGTACCTGTCTGTGCAGGGCGCCTGATTGTGACCATCTGGGTGATCGTGTCTCCATCGAACTCCAAACAGAAGTACACCTTGAAGGTAAACCTGGACACTGAGCTGGTTCCTGAAACAATCAGAACAGGAAGTGAGGTAGTCACCAGGTGTGTGTGTGTGCAGGTTAGTCATGACAGTCTACCTGAGCAGCTGATCGCCGAGTCCATCAGGAAGAAAAGCCGATCGATGCACCTTTCACCTCAGCAGCTCCGCCTCTGCGTTCAGGAGTACCAGGGCCAGTACATCCTTAAGGTACGCCTGTCTGTCTGTGTCTACCTGTCTGCCCCCACCCCTGACGACTCACCTGTCCCCCTCCCTGTGTGCCTCTCAGGTGTGTGGCTGCGATGAGTACCTGCTGGAGAAGTTTCCTCTCAGTCAGTATAAGGTAACAGCTGATCCTGTCACAGTTTGTCCTACACCTGACCCACCTGCTGCCCATAGTTCACATTAATCCCGTACAGGACAGGTGAGACTGTCCAACGTGAGCTTAAAGTGTCCTCCAGGATTAGGTGATCTTCAGTTCCTCACCTGTGTGTCTGCAGTACATCCGCTCCTGCATCATCGTGGGACGTCTTCCTCACCTGATGCTCGTGTCCAAAGACAGCCTCTACTCTCAGCTTCCCGCCTCAGGCTTCGTCACGCCTTCCTACAGGTATGGCCGTCACAGGTGTCACACCTGCAGGTATCGCAGGACGCAGGACAGGAGGTGACTTGAGCTGTGTGTGTTTCAGCCGTCGGACTCCTCAGCCGTCTCCCTGTCCAGGAGGAGGCGACGGTTCTCCTCCTCGCTCCTTGTGGGCCTTCAACACTCTGCTGAGAGTCCGGCTGCTCTGCGCCACGTACGTGAACGTGAACATCAGAGACATCGATAAGGTGAGTCGGTCCTCGCTGCCTGGACCTGCTGCATCACATGTGGGGTCTGATCGAGCATCAGCCCTGACTCCAGTAATTATTACGTGCTTTGAGAAGCTTTAATGTTCAAAGAAGGACTCACAGGGTCGTAGCAGGAGGAGCTCCAGGACTCTGCAGAGAGGGAGGACTGGGGGTCGGTTCACTGGACTGGATTAGATGTCTGGATGTTTGGGTGGATGGTTGGATCAGATCAAAACATCGGATTTTGTTGTGTGTGTGTAGATCTATGTGAGGACAGGGATCTATCACGGAGGAGAGCCGCTGTGTGACAACGTCAACACCCAGAGAGTGCCCTGCTCCAACCCCAGGTACGACACACCCAAACACACACCTTAAAACATCTCCTCCTGTCGTTCCTTTTACCTGCCTGTCTGTTTACCTTCACCTGTCTGTCTTCAGGTGGAATGAGTGGCTGACCTATGACATCTACCTGGCTGACCTCCCTCGTTCAGCCAGACTCTGCCTGTCTATCTGCTCTGTGAAGGGAAGGAAAGGAGCTAAGGAGGTAGGAAAGAAGGGAGTACAGGTGATCTGTGTAGTAAGACTGCCTGGTTGAACCTGTCTCAGGTCGTTTCTCAGTACTCAAGTACGCAAGTCCGTACTCGTCCCACTCGTACTTCTGAAGTTCCCACGGGAATCTGGAGTTCCTGAGAACTGGAGGACGCGGCGATCGTTCTGATGTTGGAACGGGCGTGTACTTGATGACATCACAGCTCAGCTCCATTGTTTCCACTGTCACCGCCCTTTAATTTAACTGTGATTGATATGCGCAATGGAAATTACATATGATATAAAAGACTGCACAAAGTAATAGATTTCTTTAAGGAAAAAATCTTTTTAAAGTATTTGGCAAAATTCCCTTTTACATATCATCTGCTTCACAGTCAGATGTGAACAGCTAAAAGCAGCACACACGTATGCACAGTTCATGCTGCTTATTCAATAGAAACAAAGAGGTTAGAAAGCTTTTATTTTATTTTAGTAGATACTTAAACCTACCACAGACAGCTGCTGGGGTTTGGAAGAGAACTGAACTAATACTTCAATCAGATCATTGTTGGAGCAGCCGTCAGGATCTCCTCGTATCAACATGCTGTTTTTGTTTCCTCCTGGATTTAATTATTTTTATTGTTAGATTCAATTCAGAGTCAGCTGTTTAAATAAGAACAGCACATTTTACATCAGGTGAAATGACCATCGATGCATGCTTGATAGAAGGGGAGGAGCCAGGACACATCCTCTGTCTCACCTGTCTCACAGGAGCACTGCCCTCTGGCCTGGGGGAATGTAAACCTGTTTGACTACAAGGACATCCTGGTCTGTGGTAAGGTGGCTCTCAGCCTGTGGCCCGTTCCCCACGGCCTAGAGGACCTGCTCAACCCCATTGGAGTCGCGGGTTCAAATCCCAACAAGGTACCCAACAAGTTCTCTCAGACAGTAGAAATGTGTCTGATCCTGAAGTAAGTATATAATGATGGTGTTGTGGTCTGCAGGAGACCCCCTGCGTGGAGCTGGAGTTCTCCTGGTTCAATCAGATCGTTGTTTTTCCTGACGAGCAGCAGATTGAAGAGCACGCCAACTGGACCATCAGCAGAGAGCTGGGCTACAACTACTGCCACGGCCTGGTAACTACAACATTAAAAACTCCCTCTCTG